GGATGAAATGCCTGGCATCCCAGCAGAATTGACAGTCCACAAACTCAGCACAGACCCCGCCGGAAGGCCAGTGGTGCAAAAACGTCGCCTTTTTGGCCCCGAAAAGCAAGCTGCCATTGACGAAGAGATACAAAAGTTATTACAGGCAGGCTTTATTAGAAGAGTGGAGTACTCTGAATGGGTGTCCAACCCTGTGCTTGTCAAAAAGCCAAATGGCAAGTGGAGGATGTGTATTGATTTCACTAACCTCAATGATGCGTGTCCAAAAGATCCTCATCCCTTGCCAAACGTTGAGAAGTTAGTAGAACGGGCAACAGGACATGAACGGATGAGTTTTCTTGACACCAGCTCGGGTTACCACCAGGTCCAACTGTTGCTAGACGACCAGGAAAAGACAGCTTTTTACGCTGGCGACGCGATCTACTACTATGTCATGATGCCGTTCGGCCTCAAAAATGCTGGAGCAACATACCAGAAGCTGGTGCAAATCATCTTTAAGCTCCAGATCGGCAGAAACATAGAAGTGCATGTAGATGACATGATAGTCACCAGCGTGCGAGCTAAGGATCACATTGACGATTTGAATGAAACTTTTCAAAACTTGCGTCGAGCCCAAATGAAGCTGAATCCCTTGAAATGCACGTTTGCTGTGGAATCGGGGAAATTCCTGGGGTACGTGGTATCCAAGAAAGGAATCGAAGTAAACCTAGAAAAGGTCCAGGCCGTTCAGCAGATGGAGCCCCCAAAGACTGTAAAAGATGTACAGCGCCTAACAGGTCGGGTAGCTGCGTTGCACAGGTTTATAGCCAGATCGGCAGAAAGGTGCCTTCCGTTCTTCAAAGCTCTGCGGGAGCCTAAAAACTTTCAATGGACGGATGAGTGTCAACAGGCATTTGACGAGCTCAAACAGTATTTGGCATCCGCACCCCTGCTGTCCAAGCCTATCGATGGGGAATGTTTATATCTGTATCTGGGGGTCACAGAAGAGGCAGTGAGTTCGGTCCTACTGAGGGAAGAGAATAAGAATCAGAAGCCTATCTGCTATGTGAGCAAGGTATTACAAGGTGCCGAGCAGAACTACCCACTAGCAGAAAAGGCTACTTTTGCTTTGGTCTGCACGGCTCATAAGCTGAGAGCTTATTTTCAGTCTCATCAGATCATTGTCTATACCAACCTACCATTGAGAAAAATACTACAGAAACCTGAACTATCTGGTCGGCTTATTGGATGGAGCGTCGAGCTGAGTGAATATGACCTGAAATTTCAGCAGCGCACAACCATTAAAGGCCAGGCCGTGGCGGACTTTCTAATGGAGTGCACCTCAACAACTAAGGAAGAAAAAGCACCCGAACACCCAGTTTGGGTTTTGTATGTAGATGGAGCAGCTAATATTGAAGGGTCGGGTGCTGGGGCTGTGCTACTGGGCCCAGATGGCTTCAAGTCCGAGCACGCACTGAGGTTTAAGTTTCAGACTACCAATAACACTGCAGAATATGAAGCCCTTATTTACGGACTAAAGCTGGCGTCCGAGCTGAAGGTACAAAGCATTCAGGTCTTCAGCGACTCTCAGCTCGTTGTGGGCCAAGTGAATGGCAGTTGCGACATCAGGGATCCCCAGCTCAGTCGTTATGCCTCTGTGGTTAACAGATTGAAATCAATATTTGCCCTTTTCCAAATCGATAAAATACCACGGGCAGATAACCACCGAGCTGACGAGCTGTCAAAGTTGACTTCCTCACAGGACATCAACCCTCAGAGATCAACAATTGTCGAGGTACTCGATGCACCAAGCTACACTGATTTCACAGTCGAGTGTCAACTGCTCAGTACAGATCCCTCTACACCGAGCTGGACCACCCCGCTCATAAATTATCTACAAAGTGGCGAGCTACCTGAAGACCGGTCCGCTGCAAAGGTGATTAAACGCAGGGCGGCACATTTCACTGTATTAGATAACCAGCTCTACAAGCGAGCAGCCTCAATGCCCCTATTACGCTGCCTTACTCCTTATGAAGCTGAATACGCCGTGAGAGAAGTTCACGAGGGAGTATGTGGCACGCACATCGGCGGCAGAACTTTAGCTCGGAAACTCCTGAGGCACGGTTATTACTGGCCCACTATGGTCGAGGACGCACAAAACTATGTCAAAAAGTGCCCGACCTGCCAGTTCAATGCCGATGATATTCACATGGGTTAAATACCTTTTTTGGTCCCTCTACTATAGGAAAAAGCCCCTTTTTGATCCCTGTACCGAAAAAATCCCTTTTTTGGTCCTTACTGTTCACAAATCCGGCCCCTTTTTGGTCCCTCCGTTAATTTTTGCTCACATGGCACGTTAACTTAACGGGAACAGCTGATGTGGACTTAATGATACCCTCCACGTCATCCTCCACGTGCCAGAAAAAGAAAAAGAAAAGGTTAAATGCTAAATTTGATCCCTCAACTTTATAAGTTTGCATTTTTTTATCCTTAAATTATTCTTTTCACTTTTTTTATCTTTTAATTCTAAAAATTACGCAATTTTTATTTTTCCATCAGTTAAACATGATGTGATAATTAAATAATTCCATTTGACATTTTTTTAAAATTTTTTTGATGACATGACAATTATATATATTATAATTATGTTATATAGATAAATAAAAA